CATATATATATATATATATATATATATTTATGTATTTTAAGGATATAATATAAAAATTTAATTTATTTTTTGATTAGTTATCGACATTTTATGATTGATCTGTTCTGTAGCGCACTCTATCAAATTATTATATTTAAAATCTAAAAGTGATTAAAAATTTGAAGGTTAAAAAGTATATAATAACATTTTAATCTTATCACATATGTTTATGTTAAAAATTTCAATAAAAATAAAAATTGTTTTGACTGTAAATTTATAAATAATAATCAAATAATAAAAATATCGTATTTCAAGCAATAAAAATACACATATATAAATAGATATCAATATGTAAAGAATATAATTTATATAAAAAATATAATCGTAGAAATTATAAATTAAATAACCATTATGTATAAAAAATTCGTTTATTAAAATATATAATAATAAATCGTATACTAGTAATAATAGTAATAAAATCGTTATAGTTTATATTATATTATATAGTTTATATTATTAACTTCAAAAGTTTATTAATAAACTTTAAAATTATTTTCAACCTTTAAGAAATTGATAAACGTAACTAAAATCTTTCTTTGCAAATCCACGAACAATAATTGCCCTATAAATTTGATGCGCTAAAGAACCTAAGGGAATAGTTGCTTCTACTTTAGTCGCAACAGATTGTGCTAGTCCTAAATCCTTGGCCATTAAAGTCACTCCGAAACCACCCTACAATTAAAACCATTAAATCGATCGATTAAACGAATTTTATATATTTAAAAAAAAAAAAAAAAGAAAAGAAAGAAAGAAAGGAAAAAAATAAATTGTAATTAAATACCTCATAATTTTTAGAGCTAGGTACATTTTTGAGAATACCCGGAACAGGATTGTACAGCTCGGAAGACCAGCATTTCCCGCTACTCGAATTGATGATATCAGTTAAAATTTTGGAATCTAAACCTAATCTGAAATATGATGAAAATTAAGAAATCATTACACTTATAATGTATCCTTATTTTTGCCTTTAATTTCTTACTTTTGCCCAAGATTGAAAGCTTCAGCAGTACCAATCATGCTAATACCTAAAAGCATATTATTACACAATTTAGCTGCTTGTCCCATCCCCACATCTCCACAATGTATTATCCTGGATCCCATGCAATTGAGAAGAGTTTTGACAAGTTCAAAATTTTCTTTGGAACCTCCAACCATGAATGTTAACGTACCATTTTTGGCTGCGTTTATACCTTTAAAAGAAATTACATTTTTAAGAAGATTCATATACAAATATAATTTGTAATATACATATATGTATATATCAATACCTCCGGATACTGGGCTATCTAAAAAGTTAAGGTTCAATTTTTTAGCCTCTTTGGCCAACGTTTGAGACACAAACGGATCTATTGTACTACTATCGATCAGAATACTGTTCCTTTTTGCTGAACTGAAAGAGAAGAGGAGAGAGGCTTGAGCATTTTGTATTAGAAGATAATACGGTTGATAAAAACAGAGTATGCTTAAGGCAACTACTTATTTACCTCAATAGACCATTTTTAAGGTTGTAAACGTCCAGAACATGTTGGTTAGATGGCAACATTGAAACGACCACTTCAACATCTTTTGCCATCTCAGCAGGACTAGAAGCTCTGTCAGCGCCTATATCTGTCAAATTGGACATTGCTGATTCGTTAACATCGAAGACAATTAATTTGTATCCCTGTAATACAAAAATCAATATATATATTAAATTCTCTTGATTAATTCGTTTTCATTGGAAAATAAGTATACTTATATAATCTGGATGTATCAAGATTTGAAGAAAAATGATTATAAATTTTGTACATGAAATGTACATGATATTGTACATGAAATGACTATATGAAATCCATATAAAATCCATTTTTTCACAATATAATGACATTCAAATGTATCTTTATCTCCATCACATTTTTTTCACATTAATTTTACATTAATTCGCGCGATAATTCATATTTTTTCTTCTTGCTTGCTACGATAAAAAAGAAGTCTTGATGATCTCAAATGATTAATCGATTTTTATATAATAACTTTTTTTAAAGATTTTTTAAATGACTCTTGGCAAACGATTATTGTGAATAATTTACCTTTTTTAAAATATTTCTTGCCATATGACTACCCATATTGCCCAAACCGATGAAACCAACTCGTGAGAAACATCTTTTCCCTGAAATCATGGAAATCATGCAATAAATTAATAATCGAGCATAATTTTCTAATATAAATAAATGTAATAAAGATTACCTGCAATGCTATAAACAACTGGCAAATTGAAAACACTCATTATAAAGAATTACTTGTATAGTTTCGATTATTTCCTCTTTTCTTTAATGACTTCTTTAATATAATGCGTCATCGTTGTTTGAACATGATGATTGTCAGAAAAATTTCATACATACATATATTCGTGAAAAGGATAGTACGTTTAATGGTAAACAGAGTAAAATACTTTCTAAAAGTTTGCCTCGTTATAAATAAAATTTAAAAAAGGTTAATCTACATTACTTAAGCAGTTACGTAAATGACCGGTTCATGAATAATGAGAGCGATTACCAGTACATAAAGTTGCTACTTTATCAACCAAATAAATTTAAATAGAATATTTATAATTTATTAACATATCAACGTACATTGTAAATAATATATGTAACAACAATGTAACAATATATAATTAATTAATATAATGTATATAATAATATAGTATATAATACAATGTAATAATTACAATTTTTTCATATTATCTTTAATTCGTTAAAATTTTCATTTCACGAAGTAGAATAACTTGCGAAATAAAAACAGATAATATCATGTACGATGTATTCTCGATAAGACTCATTTTCTTCTTTTTTTTTTTTTTTTTTTTTTCATTACGAAGCAAATAAAGATGTGAAAAAAACTTTGGATTTTCACAAGTGTTGTGAGTAATGATAATTTTCAATAACATTCTTCTTTTAAAATTAATTCAATATCAATTAAATTAATTCAAAAAAATATGTATTTTTATAATTGCAACTATGTGTCTATATTTAATATTTCTAAAATATAAATATTGCTGCTTCTTCTTTGAATATTTAATCATAAATATATATATATGTAACGAATAATAAAAACGATAATAAAAAAAAGGAGTTTCGTCGAACGATAAGAAACGAACGTTTTCCATGACGAACATATAATGTCATTTCGTTAGATTATCTTTTCGTATACAAGACATATCGATTAATATTTCAGACATCGTCAATTAAACATAAACGAAACCACAAAAGAGCCTTGAAACTCGTCATAATTACGCCTTTTATATCAACTGTGTGTTTCACTATACATTTTCCTTTCTCTATACACTTATCTCTCGTCAAACTGCACCTTGAATAATTCTATTTGTACCTTTTTATGTATATAATGGAACACTTAAATTACACATGTATTGTTCTATCTATCAATCTACAAATATCACACATATTTGCGTCCTTCCCTCGAGTCAAATTATAGGTCTAGCATCTTGAAGAGTCACATCAATATCAATCAAGTTGGTTACACTGGACTCATAAACTGGTCTACTTTTCAAGTGAGCTGGAGAAACGAAAATGGACGACGCTGTGAGCTCATGATCAAGTATTCGTGCGTCAAAAATTAAGTTGAACGATAAAAAATATCTCGAAGTTTCGAAAATTTATTATGAAGATTTATATATTTATGTATAATCTTGTATCGATCGTTTCGTTGGTGATAAGTTTTAAGAAAGATTTATTATTAGCATCGAATGTCGAGTCATGGATCACAGATCAAAATTTTACGAAGATCATCAACTTGTCGTTTCCCTTCTCTAAATGTTGCAACGTTCTTTTAACTGGTTAGTTGATGAAATACATCGAATTCGAAAACTATCTTTTTTTTTTTTTAATTTCTTACGGAATTTTTTTTCTTTTTTATTGGAAATTGACCTATAGAAATTTTTATAGATTCAACGGAAGATTTGGAAATATTTTTCGGTCGATTCAGAACCATCTATCCTTACGATTATTTTTTGAAAAGAAACACGAACGAATACGAGCAAGAATGTAACGGGTACCTCTTACTGGGATCGTGTGACGACGATATTATTGGAATTATTAGAAAGTGAAACGAAATGATGACGTTTTTATCCTACATATAAGATTTGTTCATTTATTTTCTCTTTTTTTTCTCTCTTTCTTTTTCTTCTTCTTTCTTTTTTTTTTTTTTTAATATTATTTTTGCTATTTTTGCAGAATGCCGTCATCACTCTGGAACACAGAAATTCTAATCATTGTGGACAATGATATTTCTATTGACTCTAACATTCTTGATAATTCCATCTATGGAATTGCAAGTGTAAATATTATTTCTATGTCGGGTATATGGAAATTATCCGACAATTACTTGAAACCCCGAGTATTTGCCAAACTTGATAGGTAGTATCAATTAATATAATATAAATACTTAAATACGAGAAATACAATATTTAATATCGATTTATTGACTTTTTGCTCGTTGAATTGAAAAGATACGAAGAGATAAAGATCGACGAGAATATTGATTTTCGGGGACAAGAATTACAAGTTTGCAGTTGTTACAATCCTCCCATGACTTACTTGAACCGTACAATTCGGAAAACGATCAATGGTTTCGAAGCTGAAGTGTACGCAATGGACAATGGTGAGTAATTATCAAGTGATTCGATCCCTTCTCTTTGATAAAAGTATTTTTTTTTTTTAAATACAGATTCGGACTGGGACGGTATCGAGATGAGATTGTTCTTAATAATGGCGGAAAAATTAAATTTTACGTGGACCATAAGGAAACCAGACGGAAATTACACGTAAATGCAAACATTTCGAATAATTCTTTTCCATCTTGTTTTATCTTATTCTTATCTCGTCCTAATTTCTTATAATTATCCGATTTCTTCGAGGAATCGGATAAAGAAATATTTCGTAAGATCGTGTTCGAAACAATGTTGGTTTAGATACGGGAAACGTTTCAACGAAACACATTGGCTCGGTGGTATCATACAAATGTTGGTCGATCGAAAGGTATGACTAATTTTTTCATCAAGATTAAATTAAAGAGATTTTTCGTAGAAACCTGTTTCATCCAACCAGGTGGATATCGCGTTTGCTAGCATTTGGGTGACATTGGACCAGAATGAATTCGTTACATTGTCGGTACCTTGGTACGATGTATATCTCCATTTCTTGGTGCCGCGTCCACGTCGGACCACAAGTTTTTGGGCGTTGAAAAAACCGTTTTCCAAGAAAATTTGGTGCTTGCTTCTGTCCGCGTTGCTCCTACACAGCCTTTACACTTGCGCTCGTTCGTGGATCGACTCTAAATTTCCAAAACGTAAAAAAAAGAAAAAAAAAAAGCTTTGAATTGTCGTTTATTACATATAAAAGATTAATATATACATAAAAGAAAAAAGAAACAGTTTTACTTGCAACTAACTTTGATGATGTTTTTCCAGGATATCGAAATTTTCTAATTACTTTTACCGATTTAATTGGATATTTGTTGAGCAGCTCGGTGCCAAAGACCAAAGTTGTACCAAACAGAGTGGAGATACTTCTCTGGCAGACCGTAGGATGGTTAATAATTGCTGCATATTGCAGTAGTCTCGCTGCTAGACTTGCAACTTGGGAATACGAAAGGAGGTATGAGATCGAAAATAAAAAAAAAAAAATAAAGAATCATTATATATGCGTAAAACTGATAAAACGCTATATGGTAAGTAAAACAGTTTAAGATAGATGTTTTATACGTAATTATATTCTCGATTGGAGAAGGATAATATATTTTTTTGTTTTGATATAATATAATCAGATAATAATAATATCATAGAAACTACTTATATAAATACTTACGTAATAAGAAGAAGAATCACTCATCCATTGATTTAATATTTAAACTTCTCATCCGAAATTCGAAGATAACATCCCAATTAATTTTTTTCTGATCTACAAGTTTAAATATACTTATTTATCTATTAATTAAATATATAATGATTTTATAAAAAAAAAAAAAATTCGAAAAGAATTTATTACATAATAATATAACATTAAAAACAAAGAAGAATATATATTTTTGAAATTACAATATTACCCGATATACATACATTTTTTTATATTAAAAGTTCACATTTCACTTCGTTATTGTTTTTTACACTCTTTGCATAATTTCATTCATTATTCCTCATGAAAAACCTCGATTTAATGATCAAACAGTTTTATCAAAATCCCATTTTCCCATTACTAAGCATGAATGTATCTTCAGGGTGGACAATTTCAAGCAATTCATCGAGGCGAATTTATCATGGGGGAAATCAGGTCAACCGCCACCGTTTAGCGATTACTTTGATCTTAGCGTAAGTTGAAAATCGTGATGAAAGGATAGAGAAAGATAAATTTATAGAAGTTATAAGGGAAAAAATTCTAATGAATTCAATTCAGGATCCGCATTCGGCTCAATTGCAAAACAGATACTATCAGATCGAGAATAATACGCAATTAGAGGAATTCATAATGCAAGGTAATTATGCGATTTTGGGCAAAATAATCGAAACGTGTTTCGTTCCGACCGATTATATATCGACCGAAAGTCTCAAGGTAAAAACGTAAAAACTAATAATGCGAAACTATGCATTGAAAACGATATGATGTATGCTTCATAATTAATAAACATACTTCGAATTTAAATGATCGCAGAATTACAGATTGATGAGAGAATCGTTGGGACACTTTTACGCAGCTTTCGCGATTCAACCACGTCTACTGAAGCCTATAAATAAAGTAACGATACTTTTTTATCCCAATTTTTTACATTTAAATCTTCACGCGCATGCGTACACACATACACGTACCAAATATATAATAATTTTATTTTTCAATAGATGATTCTATGGTTGAAGGAGACCGGTATTGTTATTTGGCATTTACGCGATGTCATACGAAGGCGAGGCAATTATAATTTTCGCGAGGTTTTCATTGAACGTGATGGATATGACGGAAGCGTACAAGTTCTTGGATTGATGCCGCTTGGCGCTGGATTTTCACTCTTACTCGTCGGATTTTTAATATCTACGTTAGTATTCTGTTTAGAATTGAAACATGTCAGTGGAAAAATATCTATACGTTCCTCGAGATAAAAAATATGATTCATAGAGATAAATATACATGTTGAGATAAATATACATAAGGTATATTGTATAAGCTAATTGATTTCAAGGTCGTTTCACTTCGATTAATTTAACAAGAGAAGTGAAAAAATAATAGATATCTGTAATACATATCTATTATACATATCGATTCTCTACGATCTCGCTTTATTTTTTCCAATAATTAATTACTTATGTATTTTTTTCAATTAATAAATGAATAGCATTAATTTTAATTAGCATTATTTAGTAATAATTTCATTGTACAAAGCTACGGTTGAAAAATAATATACACATATTTACATCACGTGTAAATGTAAGATAAAGATTACGTGTCATTGAAATATAAGCTACATATTTGTAAAAAATCATGATTTTATACGATAAATATACGATAAATTTATATTAATCGTATATAAAGATTGATAAATATGATTATAATCGACTGCACGTATGTCATATAATGATCATTTTCAATTTTTTTCGTATCTAAAAGGATGTTAAACGACGAATTATTACGAACAATTTAAGAGTTGATTGTCAATGAAGAAACGTAAATTAGGAAAAAAATTTATATATATATAAATGCAATAAATAAGCAAAAAATAATTTTAACTAATGAATACTTTTTTTTTTATTTTCGAGATTTTTTTACTCGAATTAAATCGAGTCTTGTAAAATTGCATTTATTATTTAATATTTTTTCTAATAAATTAGTTGTATACATAATATACAATATACAAAAAATATATAATTTACAATTCTTTAACGATATTTAATTTTATGCATGGATAATAAAAAATGTACATTGTCTATAATTATTCGAATGAATAAATAATTAATTTTACGAATATATACTAGTACAAATATAGCATTTCTGGCTTTTTCTTTATTTTAATTTTTCTTTATCTTTATATATTTTATCTTAAAATAAAATTTTAAATTCGAATTTTTTAAATTTTATAACCTTTTTTAAACCTTGGAAAAGAGCAATAACTTTTTCAAAGTGTTGAATTTTTTTTTTTTTGAAATCGCAATTCGATTTTTCAGAATAAAAATATAGAATTGAAGAAAAAAAAAAATGTTCCTTTTTCCATATTTATCGTTACAAAATATAATAGGATAAAATAAAAATATAATGAATCAACGAAATAATTTTAAAGATTATAATAAGTAAATATAAATATAAATATAATATAAGAGAGAGAGAGAGAGAGAGAGTAATAATAGATAGAGTATAAGAAATAATATCGTTCTATAGATCTTTTTATTTCGATCGAAAATAATTATTTTTTTAAAATTTCTATTTAAATTTTTTTATCTCATACAAATTTAATATTATTTTCATTTCGCTTAAATCTTCTACAATATGATTAATGTAACTACTGTTAATTAAAACTAATCATTTTTAATCTTATTCTCATTATAAATTTAAATTATTTATATATGGATATACATATGTATGACTATTTCGATTAAATAGATATAAGATAAAAAGATGAAGATAATTTGGAATGAAAATGTTTTTAGTAACTGGTGGCAGTTCAAGGAAGGAGTAAGTGGATATAGCGGTGAATATTACAGCCGATATAATTTAGTCATTCTTCATTCGTCAGCGACACGGTACGGACGGTGTTTTTTACATTACTGAAATCTTACGAAAAATACATTAATCTTCGATTAAAAGTGATACAATAAAATTTTATTTCAAACGATTTGATTTTGTGATCGATTTGATTTGTGAATTGAAAGTGATGGTTGAACGAGAAATCATGAGAAATAAAAAACATATTCACGACGGTAAATATTTATTTGAAAAAATTCTTTTTTTTTTTGAATTGCACATAATTCGTCCAAGTTTTTTTTTAAATCTTCTTAAGATAACAAAGTTATTAATATATATATTAATTTTATCGATAAAGAAAACTTATCAATACATTAATTTTCATTTTTCACCGATATATTTCGCATATATTTTATGTATATTGATGTATTATTATTAAAAATTATTAAAAATTTATTATTCGAAAAAAAAAGAATTTTATATATATAATTCAAGAATAATTAAGAATATATACATATAAAACAATTTAATTATTATTATATAGTTCAACCAGCAACGATAGATGAACATTTTCATTTACTCTTACATTGCAAAGAAGAAATTGATCCTAATTTTACAAAAGTGACAGCAAAAGATCTACCTGAATGGTACGATGAAGATTTATTCAAAAAGTGAGTTCAAAGAAAAATAATAAAAGATGTAATAAATAATATAATCGAGTAATCGAGAAATAATCAATGAAATTTACAATTTTAGGGGTCAACGATTCTGTATGGATTATTTATTAGCATTAATTGCTGCAAATCTATCAGGTTTAATAGCGATATTGGCCGTCCCAGATATATTGGAGGTATATATTTTGAATGAATTTGATTTCTTCTCAAATGTCTCAAAAAAATGACAAAAATTATTTATAAATCATATAATTATTTATAATTTATTTATAATTATTTATAAATCATATTCTTTTATTATATATCAGAAATTTAAGAAATCTAGCAGAGAAAGTGTTTCAACAAGTTTTAAAATTCTAAAAATTATATATATTTTTCTATGTTGTATATTATTCTATATTTATAAAAATTTTTCCAATATATTCGTAAAAAATTAAAACAGATATGTTAATAATAATAAATAATTTATTTAATTATATATTATTATATATAATTACATATAATATATATCTATATATATAATTATATATTATTATATATTATATTATTATATATAATTATATAATATTATATATAATTTATTATATTTTATTTATATAAAATATGTATAATATATTAATAAATTTTACATTTCAGATTCTTGTAGACTCGAAAAATAATGCCACGGTATCTTTATCCTACAAACGATACGCTCAAACAACGTTGTATATGTATGCACTTTATAAATCAGAATTATTAAGCTCGGATTCGTTGTAAGTTAATAAATGTTAATTTATGTTAAAGAAAAGGATATTCGATGAAATTTATTATTATTCAAGGTGGTTCAAGGCAATAAATGTCATTCGATGGAGGCATGCGAATGCTAGCAAAAAAAGAATTCAGAAAGGTTTTAATGGAATATATCAAAAGGATATGGCAATTACACAATTCGGTTTTATTGGATACTTTTTTTTGGCTCCAAAAAAATTGGGGATCGCAAATGCTGAAAAATGTATGTTAAGTTTTAATCATTTCTGGCAAGTTATAGGGTATTTGTTGGGCATATCTGACAGGTAAATGTATTAACAAAACATTAGAAATTTTATGTACGTATGTTTAACAGGATAAATATATTACACGTTTAACGATAAATTAAATTATTTCCATTCTTTTAGAATGAATATTTGTAGAAAGTCGGTAACGGAAACGAGAAAATTATGTGAAAGAATACAAAATGAAATAATAGCAAAACACTTGAACGATCCGGTTCCAAAATTTATAAAATATGTAACGAATGTAACGGAAGGAATGTGGCACATAGATGTATCGATCAATTATGACACTTTCATGTATTTCACATATGATTTGACAGGGATTAAATGTTAGTTTGGGTGAAAATGTATTTGTTTTATTTTTTTTTTTATTTCTATTCAAAAGTAATTAGGTGATTAATTTTTTTTTCTAGATAAGAAACCTCTCTCATGGTATTCATATTTGAACTTGAAATACCGTCAATTTATATTTTATATGTACGGTAAGTAAGATTGTTTTGAATTTGCTTTTTAAAAACTATGCAACTATGCAATTAAAATTCTATTTTTAATAAAATTATTTCTAGATAAACCATATATTGGCTTTGTAATACGAATGATATATAATAAAATACTAATATTAATGTTCTGGATAGTTGAAAACTTTCCAATACTAGCATGGATATCATTTGGAAAGAAAAAAAAATCATTAAATCTTTATCCAAATCTACAGTAATATTATTATCATATATAACTATTATAAATTTCACTATATAATTATGAAATATTTTATACGTGAAAAATTAATTGATATTATAGTTAATAGATAAAAATTACTAATACTAAAAATATTAAAATATATTTTATTATAAAATATATTTTTATAATATAATTTTGTATTATTAAAATATTAAAATTGTCTATATAATTATATTAATAATAATTATTATATTATTATATTAAAGTATGATATATATATATATATATATAGAACAAATGATAATAATGAACATAATTATTTTTCCACTATGTATTTATCAAAATGTGATAAAATTTTACATTACCTTTAGTCGATAATACTGGATTCTGGTGGAATGAAACATGTTAATGATTTTAGTCACTAGAGTTCGCTGTATGTCTTATAATGTTAATTATTCATTTTTTTGTTAATATTTAAATTATAATTCATTAAAAATCACGCAAAATTATAATTCATTAATCCAAATTGAATTAAACATCGATTGCTATTAAAAGAATTTTATAAAATAAACAGTATTGTATATATATATATAGCATTAATTTACGATCAATTGTAAATATTTTGAAAATATCTTTCATTAAAACGAAACATATATATTTTTAAAAATATATATATATATATTCGTGTATTCGTAATAGATTTTTCAAGATATCTCATAGAAAAATATCTCTAAAAAAAAATCGTATAATTAAAGTCTTAACTATTCATGTATTAACGATATATCTGTCATATTGCAATATCTATATTATTAACCACATCTAATAAAACGTCCAATAACTTTTTAGTTCAGAAATCCATCAATTTCGATCATTCAATTCGAATCAAGTACCTTCAAGCTATTTTCGCCAATCTCAACTGTGTACCTGTCAAAAATTGGTCATTTTATCTCGTCGCAAGTCTACCCCAATATCTCTGTCCAGCAATGGTGATAATTATCAGTTGCAATTTGTCTGGTACTGTTCTCCGTTCTACTCTACCCACGAACACTGCTGGAATCTCCATTCTTGTACACGTCATCCATTCGGCGTGCCATTATCCCATCTCTTGCCGCCATCCTCTCACTCCGTCCTTCCATCTTCCGCACCAGGATCACAGGATCATTTTTTACGTGAGTCGCGTGATTCCATGTTCGCCACATCTTCGATGCGAGCTGGTTAAGAGACTCGCGTGAGAAGTGAGCCTTTGCTCGCACACACTTTCGTACACCACATCAGGATACGATGGTATACGTGCGCGCCCGAACCAACACATGTATGAAATACACAGAAGAAAACGCACACCTGCTCGCTTACGTATACATGGAGAAACGGAGGCGTATGTAACACGGGTCCCGAGTACATAATACACAACCATATATCCTTCTGTCCCGTAGCTACTCTCCCTCGACCCTGTCGCCTCTCTTCTCGGTTCCTCTCCTCGTTCCTTGGCTCATCGGCCCTTCCTGCCCCTCTACCCTGCGCCACAGCTAGCGATCCCCTTCCCCCACTCCTTGAGTGCCCGGCGTCTCCGCGCGCCATCGAGTCCTCCTCATTCCCCCTGCAGGCTTGCACGACCTAAACGAGATGACTCGTCGCGAGGACAGAGGAGCGGCGTCAGAGGAGATGTTACTGCTGCTGCCGCCGCCGCTCTGCTGCTAAAGAAGAAGAAGGAAGATGTGAAAGCAATAAAGAAAGAGGGGAGTAGGTACATATCAGAGGCCGTCCAAAGAAGAGAAAGAAGATGGCCCTGCGGCCCTTGTGTTCCACAAAGAGATCCGCGAGACCGTCCACTACTAAAGCTCGATCCATACGCAACCACGGCAACGTGGCTCCACGCCTCGAAATCGTTTTTCGTCGTTGTAAATTGCAAGCCAGCTACTGTCGTCATCATCGTTGTAGTCAAATATTGCTTTTTTCTCTTTTTTCCATACATAACAGCAATTTCTATGCTCTTCACAAATCTTATTTTGATCTGTTTTATTTTCGATCACATAAGTAAGTAAACACATATATATAGTTTTCACGATTTAACATTAAAAAATTGATTATTTTGTAAGTAGATATCTAGAAATCGAAATGTAATTTTAAATAGTTTGACAGTTTAACACGATTCCACAGATCGACATGATCAACGCAGATTCCATCTGTCTTTCTACACTTTACTCGTTCCGTGTATTCCACCGGTTTTCATATATGTGTACACATTAAACACTCCCCGCAAAGTAGATGAAATATCATCGTGTATCGTATTACAATGTTACCCAGCATCGATATATAACTCCTGCGATGCAGGAGTATTTCGAAGAACATATGTTTCAAGGTGCAAAGCGCATTAGCGATAAAACTGTCTTGTTTCGAAGGTGAACTTTGAAGTATGAGATTCCCTAGAAACTAGGAAGAGGCTTTGGATTCCGGAACTGTGTCAAGGTTACAATAAATATATTCACGTCGCTCTCTCTCTCTCTCTCTCTCTCTCTCTCAACGGGATCAATCTTCATTAATTTTTAACACAATTTTTATTACGTGTTACATGTGTCAAGTAACAACATCACATCTGAATATATAAACATATATATTTATATGTTTTCGAATAGATCGGCTTGAAAGTTATCAAATCTTAATGCCTAGTTATTCTTGAAAGTATTTACTTTCCGCTTGACTATAAATCTTATATTTACGGGCTTCGTGAACCAGAGAAGTTTTGGTCGTAAACATGCACAAACGTATATAATATATATATGTACATACGCAAAGAAAAATATTCAACGAATGTACATATACTACCTATACGATATGTATTTTCACGTGTGCATAAATCACACGATGATTTTATTTTTTCTGTATGCATTTTGATTTTATCTGATTCAAAACTACCAAAAATTACGGATCAGGTTGATCGCGAAATTCGTGCAGAAGCTATTACGAGACATTATCTCGCGCAGGTGTCGCGCGCGCGACAGAAATTCACATACACGGTAAGAAGAGAATGTTCGTTAGGCTTTCACGAGTTAAGCTAGATAGCCACAGGCATTGCGTACGATCTCCAGCGCGTATCGCATCTACTTCGACAACTTGCCTTTTTTCCCTTTCTCTCTCTCTTCTTTCCTCCCTCTCTTCGTTTTCTCCTTCCACCGTCCACTGCTCTCTACCTCCCACTCTTCCACCGCCAAGTATCCCTTCCATCGTCTAGCAAGCGGCATCGAGGAACTTTTCTTCTCCCTTTCTCTCTCGCTATGTCTTTTGCTTTCTTTCTCTCTCCCCCTTTTCCTTTTTTCTTCTTTACGCGTCGTGGTCGCGAGGTACGCGACCGAACACCAACGATTCCTCTCTTCTTTAGATGGGAAACGACTGTCCTCCAATACTTTTGATCCGACACAATGACGAAGTTGAACACAACGAATGAAACGCGAGCACTACCATGGCAAGAAAGATAGACAATAGGATTTTTGTGAATACCATTTTGATTTGACGAATTTCATTTAATATGCATATATATAATGAATAATTATATATGAGAGAATGATTAGCAAATGATAAATAATAAATAAATAAATAATTGCCGATTGACTAGTTAATTCGTAAGCGAGCGTCGATTATTTTTTTAAATGAAATTTGAAAATGAAATTTCTCACCATATATTAATTAGCGTATTTTGTAACCAAAATAATATATAGAATTACGAATACTAATAATATAACGCGAATAAATTCTCGGTTGTATTAAAATCATAGGGAAATTTCTCGATTGTATACACGTGTATACATCAGAGAATTAACGGATATTGGCAATGCCAATTGTAACCCGAATGGAACTAAGACAATCACTTCTGTTTCTTCGGATAAGAAATGAGCGTCCACCAATGCCCTCGAATGGGCGCAACAAAGACGAGGACAACGACGACAAAGTGCGAGCAGTTGTAATGAGTTTTCTCAAAGTCCCTCTATTTCCAAGATTACATCGGAAGGAAGAGATATACATAGTTGCATGCGCGTTAGCTCTTTTCCTCCGTTTGCTATACTGCATCAGCGAGATGTAAATAAGGAAACGTATTATTACGCGATCCAACTAATTGCATATTACGATAGCTGACGTGGAAATGCATAATCATACGTGACGTGGTAAATCTGTGCGGATAGTAGCGATTTAATGATTATACATTGATGTTTAAGACGGAGGTGGATGGAATACATCGATGCTCAAAATAAGATGAAATATTTGAGAGTCTGGCAAAAGGTGTTCATCGAGGAATCGAATCGGTTAAAAAGTAGACACCCGTTAGTTGTTGGGTCGTGCAGACCGTACAGGCTGTTCAGAGGCCAATTAACGTAGTTACAGAGAGCAGAGTTCGAGAACAGTGGAGGTTTTATTACGATTACGACAGAAGGGGTAACGAGGTAACTGTATCAACGTTATCGCAGTTATCCGTGCTTATAGCAATAATCCGTTTATGTGTCGTTGCCCAAAGGAAAATAACTAAAAGGTACACAACACTTTTCTTAAATTGTCAAGTCAATATTTTTATCTATCTTCAGTTTAATAAACGCTATTATACGTTCCTTCGTATTTCGTGCAAAAAATCATAATTTTAGTATTAGTATTTTACGATGTTCGAATTTTTTATATATCAATCATCACATAAAAGAACATTTTTTTTTATCATAACTTAAATTCAATTAATTGTACAATAACACGACACTTCGATTCAACTAATTTCAACAAGAGAAAAATATCATCGTAAAATAAATTATCGTTCAAGGATGTAAATACGATCGAAAACAAAAGCACCATAATTCTCTGTGTTCAAATTATATACTGTGCCAGAAAAAAACGCAAGGCGTATTACATGATATGTATTGGTTGTTCATTGTTCGTATCGCTATAAATCGATGGACACCCGTTAGATGTTGAAGCGAGGGGAGGCGGGCCAGGTGGTCCGTCGGTGCGAATATCCATTATAGATTCGGCGGAGTGTAGCTGTCGTACGATCCTACTCATTTTCCGTGTATTCGTGCGGCGTATTTCTGGCATCGATGAGTGTACGTCTATCGTATTGGTAAGAGGTTATGCTTGTGTCGGTAGAAGAGGCGAGTTAGTTCACGAGGGCGCCTGTGTCGGCGCTCGCGGCGCCACCGGTTCATTCCGCCATCGGCGCCCGCGACGTACGGACGTAGATAGACGCGAGTACGATTCTTGTTTGGGCGGACAACGTGAAGAAACGGACGACCTTTGTATACCGCGTTATAAAACAAAACACACGCATCGAATCGAACGCGTAATTTATCGGTTATAAATACGGGTGTTTTGAGCGTGATACATATTCGTAGCGTGTGAAATCAGTGCGACGGATATCAGTGAAAATCCAGAGAGAGAAGAGCATCGATTGTCCTTTGTGTGATCGTCGTTACTCGGCTTTTTGTTCCTCGGGACGCCACCGCGACGTGTCGTGCTGAGGGCTCGAACGAGTGAGAGTCTCATCATAAGCTCGAGGTCCAATTGCAAACATCATCGTGTTATACCTGCGCGTCCCTCTCACAAAGTGCGGCTCATCGAAGGTCTCGCTGTCTCATAGCGGTTGAGAGACGTGGAATGATATTTCGTCGAATTGAAGGTGCAGCCAAGCTCGGTAGGCAACGACGTGACACGCGAACCAAATATTTGATACGTTAGGTAAGAAGTATGCTGCATATCGTCAAAGTTGAAAAAAAAATCGATTTAACGGAATATTCGCAGTGTAACAGTTTCGCGCGTTATTTGTCCGATTTTTTATAAAGTGCAAGAATAATCAGTTCGTTGAATCCTTGAAATTTGAGGTTGTGACACAGTTGTGCTTCGGTGACTAAAGAAATCGATAGATCGTAAATCGATAGGTGAGACACGACCGAAGTAATACAGTCGCTGGTGTTGATTCTTTATGCGACGTTTATATGTGTGTTCATTTATTCCATATACGATAGGAAAAGTGCAAGCAAGATAAAAGATTAGATGCAATACGACACATGAGGAGCAAATTCATTTAGGTAAGACAGAATAATACATTTCGAGAGATGTCGACCGTAATGGTACATTTTCTTTCGTTTTCTTTATACGATCTGATGCTTCCCTTGTATATATACCTTATACGCATCCGTCTCGTTTCAAATTCTATTGTTCATTTGAACGGCAATTAATACGAACGTTCGAACGTTTTAAGCGATTAAGAAAAATTAATATGACGACGCGCGTGTTGCGTGACAAACGTGTCATCTTTCGACACATTCGAAATTCGTAATAACTTTATTTCATGCATAATAATATTTTTTTGATATGAAACATTACTACTATACGATCGAAATAAATTAAAAGAAAAAAAATCCATATATATGACACGAAAGGTTACGTGAAAATCGTTTTCGGAATATTTAAAATCATGGAAATGGAACAATGCTTAAAGAAGCATGGTGACGCAATTTTCGTGCAGGTGCAATTACACGGCAATCGCGCGAGGCACGTCAGCAAAATCGAGAGCCGTCTTAACGGGTCTTCTTTAGTTTCGCGGAGCGCAAACGCCGTTTTACCGTTAACGACCTAAATCGACGCCGAAGAACGAGATGCGCGCTCTTTTGCGAGTTCTCCGTGAGAACACTTCTTGCGTTGAGTGCGGCTAGAGTGGTGGAGACCGAGGATGCGCACCGACTCCGTGCTCGGTAGAAGTCTTTTCGACCGTTTAATTTGATGACTTCAGAATCGCTTTAAAGGAGTAACTGATATGTCTGCTTCCAATCGTCTATCATTCAATGCTCGCTCGCGTTGGATACGTTTCGCCTTCCAACATTGATGCCAATGTTAGCTTCGGCATGTTTTTAAATTTCGATCGCATATCACACAAAAATTAGTATAATTAAACGTTTTATCATTAATTTATTATTGCTTCATAATAATAAACAAAGAATTAATGAATAAAAATTTAAAAAATTAAAATTATCGTAAAATTATCCAAATTCCAAACGAAATGTAATCGAATATCGAATAAAGAAATTATACATCAAATGTATCTTTATCGATGATAGATATGTAATTGTGCAAGGGACGGTAGTGGGGAGGATCGGTCAAATGATAACATAACGAAAGAACGTATATGTCTTTTATTCGATCATAGTAACTACTGATTTTCTAGTAAAATTCATAGAAGCGTAATTTCGAGTTTTTGATGCAATTTATATCGGTGACAAATAGATCATTCGAGAAACAGTTATATTCTATCGAGGTTCCCGCTACACGTTCACGCAACGCGTGACGTTTTATTTCCGCGTTTCATTTCACCGATTTATATCTTTTCGAACGTAACAATTTTCACATGTATTCTTCTGAATATGATCTTTGAAATAAAGAAAGGAACAGTTTTTTCTCTTCCATATCGATATATTTTTAATTCGATTGAAGAACGAAAGAAATTCATAAAATCCGGTTAATTGTGTATATCTACTTAATGGATTTCGAATATTGGCAAGAATGTTGGACAGATTTCGTGATCACCGAATTCGAGAGTATCTTCAGACTGTAGTTGAAATGTTGTAGGCTGTCCTTTCACAATGTCACATCTGATTGGCACGTTCTACATATTTTGTTCAATTTGTCTTTAGTTTGTCGTGAAATTTCGTATACAGTGTTAGGAAAGTGAATTTATCATTTAATCGCCGGTACAATTTTTCTTTTTCAAATTATACTTAATAATTCTCTATAAATATTCATTTGACAAAAAAGAGATATGTAATTCGATTATTTTATGAATTTTATGAAAAAAATCGATTTACTCAATCGAGGGATTAAACGAGTATTATAAAGTTTGAATCATAAAATTTTAGTATTTCACGTCCGAATGATAAACGTCATCGGTGCGAGATAAAGAGCGCGAAAGAGACAAAGAGGGCGTATCTTCCGTAGAAGGATCGATCGTCTTATGAAATCGAAACGTGACTTATCGCGGAAGAGAAGTCGACGTTGCCGAGCCATAGTGTCGTGCCAGACGAAACGTTGCTTCACCTCGATGGTTTCAACCTGTCCAAGAACAATAATTGTTACAAACGGACAATTGGTACAAATACGACGTAATGCAGGATTCAGCAAATTAAACGACGCGTTCACCCTTCCAGCTGATGAATCTCGTGACTAACCGGCGTAATCCGTGGAGCGCAATTAGCATACATGAATAAAGAATCTATGAATCCTTTAAGTCAACTGGCAAATACTAGCTGAATGAATAGGTGTTCATAACTTACTCGTAATGCGATGAATAGGCTACAGGCTTATTATAGTAATTAAATGAATTTATGAAATAAATCATTTTCATTATGAAATCAATCATTTTTACACGATGTTTTTTTTAATTTGATTTATTGATCAATTGTTTGATAAATAAAATAGATAGATGCGATGAAATAATTCGAAATATTTATTAAATTATTCGAATTTTCTAATTTTATCATAATTGTGCGATATGAGTCTACGAATATGGATAAAAAAAATTATAAGAAATTAAAATCTCAAAATAATTTTCTCTAATATTATTTTCTAAACTTTGTTAATTGTAATTAATTTCTACCGTATTTTAAAAAATTGTTTAATATTGCAACGATCTGAGATTAATTGCGCTCCTTATGATATTCAAATTCAATTTACAAATTACTAACGAACATGAGTTTGATCGAAATTTCCTCGAATTATATGTAAATGCAAATTCAATCTTGTAAAATTAATTCCCTCTTACGGCAAAGCATAACAAAAGTAGAACCTTTGCTTGAAATATTTTTAGCATCTAGGTATATTCACTCATTGGAATTCTATCGATGGGAAAAAAAAAATAGAAGAAAAGAAAAAGACAAAAACAGAGAGATGTGGTATCTTATATTGCTGTTGGAACTCGAGACGCGCAGGTAGCAAGCATAATTTTCTATCTACCTACGACGCCCCATAAATTGATCGAGGTTACGTCGAGCGTATTTTGTTATAGTGGAAAGGACTCGTATACGCCTCGAACGATTCTCAGCCGCTTATTACCGGGCTTCGTTCGTTCGTGCTCGGTCACGCAACGCGCCACTCGGCATCGTGGGATTTGCTGGTTGTCGAATGAACTCGTTTACGAACTCGGGAAGAACAGGCTGTGCTCGTGTCGTTTGCGACTGTGTCCATCGTTTTCGACGAAAATCGATCGTCCTCGTCTCCGTTGTCGTTGTCGACGTCGCCCCGTTGAAAAACGTTCAACGTTCGCGCGTTGTTCGAAACGTTACGTGCCCATTCGACCTTTCCCCGAGCCTCTTTTGCAGCCTTCGTTCCAGGGGCAAAAAGGGTCCCTCTCTGTCTCTTACCACGCCACGGTTTCGTCCTGACTCTTTACCCCTCTTTTTCTCCACGTGTCTCCCTTTCTTTCTATCTGCCGGCCTCACCCTCTCCCCGTTCCTTTCTCCGTGCTGCTCGTTCTTTCCTTCTCCCTCCCTCCCTCTCTGTCTCTCTCTTTCTCTGTCTCTGTCACACTCTCTTTGTCGCACACGGCAACTCACTCTCATACTCGACGAGAACGGGGCGAGTTCCCGAAATAATCGTGCGTATCGATCCTCACGCCGGGGCGTGCAGGGTGAATTTATTCTCGTGCACGGGGAGAACGAGAGACTCGTACAAGCTCGCCTCGTTACTTAATCGTTCCACGTTAGAAACGAAGGGTATATAGTATGGAAACTATAGACATAGAGGCGGTAGCGTCTCCCGCTTATTTATCCGATATATAACTGTTTGTTGGTAACACGGGGAATAACGACTATTCATCAACAGTTCGTTTGGAAAATATTTAGGATTGTTAATTACGTCATTCGTAATATGTGTTCAATATTTCTCTGTATGGAGTGATTAATTACGGGATCTGTGTCACTTGCTAATGGTTTGGTAATGATGACTAAACCTATGTCACTTGATAATGGCTTTCAAGTTGGCACGCCTGACTATTCATTTTATTCCTTGGCGCGTATTTAAGTATCATATATATATATATATCTAGGTTGGTAATTCACAGTGATTCGTTTAATATTCCATTTTCAACGAAGACAAAAACAGAGAAGGCCAAGTATTATCATCGGTCGATATTCGTAGCGGTACAGGTTATTAGATCCACAACTTCGCGGCCACAGTGTGTGACACACGGAAACGTGCATTTTTCGACCATTTCCGTGCTGTTGTGTATCGTGTTTTCGAACGTGCCGTATTTCTTCTGCAAAACTGACGATCCACAGAACGTCACGATCGTTTTACGAAGCGTTCCTCCTCGTGTGTCGTATTCTGGCGCGAAGTCAAGTGTACATAATCGTAAAATCGCAAAACTAGAAACAACATGCGAATCCCAAGAGTTCATTTCGCGAGCAACGGCCGAGGTATTTACTGGATTGGTAGAAGTGCTGTGAATTTGTGTATTTGCGAATATTTGTATCGTTAAAAAACATGACCCGCATCGTCTTACATGTTTTCTTTCTTTCGTTTCTTCGTTATTTTCCTCGGTCTCTAGTAACGACTAGTCTCTCTTTTCGTTCATATTTTTCTTTCTTTCTTTCTTCTTTTTTTTTTTTTTTTTTTGTTCTTCGCGGCGTCGTGGCGAAGAGAACCCTTGCGCGTTTTTTCGCGGGACATTGTTCGGCGTGCGCGTTTTGTCCGCACGTCAGCCATCACGGCGTATTGTATTCATTGTTTAGAGGCTGTTGGAGCTCTCGGGTAAGAAGACGGCGAGAAAGAGAGAAGGGCGCCTCGTAGTGGCTTCGAAGGAAAGGAAAACTCACCGTTCGCCGGCTTATAGACAACGTCGGGCTCGCTTGCTTTCTTTCTTTTTCTCTCCCGTCTTTCCCCTCTTCTCCCTTTCACTCGACTCGAGGCTTGCACGAAATCGCGTGTCGCTCCCGTACCGCGTAGAAATGTCGCCTCCTCCGGATCACGACGTTCCGTGATCGCAGCTGTGCGCACGTTCCTCTTCCTTTTTCGTGGCCTTCCTCTCCGCCTACGATCC